TTTCCGTTCTTACCTCTCCATTTTTCCCAACTCAGATTTACTATAATTTCTTTAACTAAAAAAAACATATCATGAATAATATATATATATATTGATTGGAGAACATAAAATTTGTTTTAGAAAAGCAAGTTACTATCCTTCATTAAAGGAAATGAAGCATTGAGTTCATCAGAAAAACACTCGAACGCAACCTCATCACAAGTAAAAAAAAAAAATTAAAGAAAACATTCTTATTTGATGTAACCCGAAAGCAGAGGAAGTCTTTTCCTCAACCAGAAAACATTCTAGTTGTTTGAGAGATTCAGGGAAGAGACTGATGTAGTACTGTGGTTGTGGGTTTTTAACAGGGATTGCAGCAGAGCTATTCATAGAGAAAGAATGAAGAGCTGTTGTGGAAATCAATTATTTGATGGTTCAGGAAGATGGAGATTTTAATGCAAAAGAGAGGATGGGGCAATGAGGTATGTTGTTTCTACTTGTTTCCACCTGTTGATTTAGCAGGACACGTGGTATACACTTTCTAGGCATTTCTTACAAATTCTAGATTAGGAATGAACAGAATAATTATGCCCAAGTCAGTGGATTAAACCGCCATTCACCTGTGTGGCCCCGGTGGCCATGCTTCTCTTTGAGAAACAAGTTGAAGGCACTCCCTGGATTTAAGAATTCTCCTTCCTCTATCAACATATATTAAAAGTGATGTGTGCACACCCGGATCCTCCACATAAAAAAAGAAAAAGATCCAATACTCAGTCCAACTTTTTTTTTTATGTGAAGGGGTGCACACCCGGATGTGGGATCCGAGTGTGCACCTATCATGATCCATATTAAAATTATCAGTGTAATTACAACTTTGATAATCACTTTCAGAAAAGAAAAACAAGAGTGGAAAGAATTAAAATATATATATATATATAGTGGATTAAATTAAATAAATAAAATGTTTGATATAATAATTTGAAATTAGTAGTTAACAATTTAATTTAATTTAAATAATAATAATAAATATAGTCTAGTAAATTACTGCTTTCAAAAAAGAAAAAAAAAGTTTGTGGATTAAACCAAACAAATGAAATGTTTAATATAACATGCTGAAATTAATAGTTAAGAGTTTTATCTAATCTAAATGATGATGATAAAAGTGTTTAAATTATTAATAATAATAAATATTAATTATTAAATTAAATAAAATTACTAATCACTAATTTTAAACCGTCTGAATGCCTCAAAACTAATTATTCATTGGTTTAATCGATTGGACATAGTTCTTCTCGTTTTGTTTGTTTTTAGATAATGACATGAGTCACATACTCACATGACACAATGCAAACATGTGTGTGTTCGACCATCTTACTAATGGCATGGGCCTGGTAATAAGTACTCATCGTCGGTGCCGTGTCAAATTCCAATTTTTCTTCATAAAATGATTTTTCTAAGTCACTTGCACTATTGATCATTTTTGCAGTCGGCAGTCACTTGAGGAATATATTTCGCTCTTTGTTTGAGCTTTCAGGGTGGTAAGACTACTTATTACCGTTGTTTGAATCTTAGCTAGACTGAACCAAAAACTCTTTTCCTTTTATCCTTTTCTTTATTGGGTTTCTTGTTACAAAGGATGTCATGTTAAGACAGGTTTCGTTGATTGATCTTATGTTATTTACAGGCGATTGTGGCTCAAGTTTTGATGAATTAGTTTCTGATCCTTTTTAAGTGTTAGATAGGAAGAATGGATACCTTATGTTTGTTATTTTAACAGTGAAAGGAAGCAGAGTTTATTGCATTGCAGCAGGAGGCAAGAGCCTCTATTTCTATGGAGAATCAAAGCATTAACCAGATGGAGCAGAGGAAGGGCCGCAGATTATTGCTCTTCCCTCTTCCCCTCCAAGGCCACATAAATCCCACGATTCAGCTGGGAAATATTCTCCACTCCAAAGGCTTCTCTATCACCATAATCACCACTAACTTCAACTCTCCCAACCCCTCAAATTATCCGCACTTTGACTTCCATTTCATCAATGAAAACTTATCTGAGGATGAAAAATCTCAACCCAATATTGTTGCTCTTGTTCAACTGATCAACAGTAGATGTGCACAGCCTTTTCGTGATTGCTTGGCTGAGTTACTGTCTAACGTTTTGGAGGAGCCTATTCTCTGCTTGATCTCGGATGTTGGTTGTTACTTTACTCGAGCTGTTGCAGATGAGCTTAAGCTGACGAGGATGGTCTTAAGGACTAGTGGAGCAACTGCCTTCTTCTCTTTTTCTGCCTTGCATCTTTTATGTGAGAAGGGATACCTTCCTATACAAGGTACTTTATTTTTTTACTCTTTTATTTTCACAATTTTTAGAGGTACGAGATGAGTTTTCTCCGGTTTCCTGATACCAGTTTTGCCAACAATTATGCAATAAAAAAACTTGCTGCTTGAAACTGTTTCAGATTCTCAATTAGAGAAGCCAGTGGCAGAGTTTGCACCTCTCAGGGTCAAAGACCTTCCGCTCATCGACTCATGTGCCCCAGAAGAACTTTATGAACTGGTAGATGACATGGTCAATGCAACCAAGGCCTCTTCAGGACTTATATGGAATACTTTTGAAGAACTAGAGCAACCTGCCCTGGCTACGATGGGCCAAGACTTTGGCATCCCAAATTTCCCAATTGGTCCATTTCATAAACGCTTTCCAGCCTCTTTGAGTAGCTTATTATCCCAGGATCAAAGCTGTATTTCTTGGCTAGACAAACAAAAATTCAGATCAGTTGTTTATGTGAGTTTTGGAAGTATTGCAGCGGTTAATGAAACTGAATTTTTAGAGATAGCTTGGGGCCTAGCCAACAGCAAGCAGCCCTTCTTGTGGGTGGTTAGGGCTGGATCAACCAGCAAATCTGACTGGCTTGAAACAATGCCAAAAGGCTTCTTGGAAGCTTTGGGTGAAAGGGGACACATAGTGAAATGGGCTCCACAGCAGGAAGTGTTGTCTCATCCAGCAGTTGGAGCATTTTGGACTCACAATGGCTGGAACTCAACATTGGAGAGCATATGTGAAGGGGTTCCCATGATTTGTATGCCTTTTTTCACTGATCAAAGGGTTAACGCCAGATACGTGGCTGAGGTTTGGGGAGTTGGTGTGCAATTAGAGAAGCGGGAGAGGGAGGTGATAGAGAGGACCATTAAAGGAATAATGATGGAGAAAGAGGGGGAAAAATTAAGAGGCAGAGTATTGGATATAAAGGAGAAAGCAACTCGATGCCTCTGTCAAGGTGGTTCTTCATACCAATCACTTGACAGCTTGGTTAGTCACATTTTATCATTCCAATCGTTTTCTCCCGTTCTGAATTATTTTTAGCTATGAAGCACTTTCTTTCAAGTGGTATTGTATGGCGATATCTCAGAGATGAATAATATGAGTGAAAGAATTGTTTTCCCTTACAGTATATTCCATTCCATTATGTTTGTGCCATGGCAATCGAGTTTCTTTATGCAGCAGAAATAAAATAATATTTCAAGGAGGCTTTTCTGAAAATAAAATGATTAACAATTCGATGAAAACGGAAGAAGGAGATGAGTTGGGATGTTGAGGAATTGCTGAGATTTCTCTCACTGAAAAGAAATATGAAGATGATTATAAATTTGAATAAGAAGCTGTCGAGGTTGTCATGGTTGTGAGAAATAAAGTGTTTGATGCTTTCATAAGACAGGTAATCTTTGGACATATGCACAGCTAGCTTGTTTTTTGCAACACTGATTGACCTTAGACAGCAGAAGCGAACGCTCTTTTCAGTTACGTGCAGAAATTACTTTTATCCTTAATTAGTGGAGAGTCTAAACAGCAAAAGAATCTTGTGAATTGTAAGACACATCCCAATTTGGGGGGTGGAAAATGCCAAACAAGTTCATAGGAAAGCTCCAAATATGCCAAGCGACGGGAGGACTCTCCAGCACCACCGTATGAACTAGCCTTCTTTGAGTACGTTCTCTGTTGTTGAAAGGAACGTCACAAATGATGCTAAGCAGAAAATTATTCTTTTCTTTCGGCTTGAGTTTCTTCCATATCTTTACCTTGTTTTTGCATTTACTATATACTTTATTTTTTTTTTAAAATAGACAATGGATTACTATATACTTGAACATGTATCAAAGACTGGTTGAAAATAAGGTGGGATTCCACTTTTTTTTTATTTATTTTAATCAAACCCCTTATTTGCCCACTAAACATTTTTTCTTTTCATGTTTAACACCTTAAATTAATTTTCCTCTCAATTAATACCTTTCATAATTTCTAAACCGTGGAAAACCCAAAAAATTAACTATGAAGT